GGTGGCTTAAATGACAGAATTTTATTTTCTCACAATTCTGGAGGCCAGAAGTCCAAGATCAAGGTGTCTGCAGGGCTGGTTTCTTCCGAGGCCTCTCTCCTTGGCTTGTAGATAGATGTCTTCTCCCTGTGTCTTCACATAGTTTATTCCCCTCTGTGTGTGTGGGTGTTTTTAATTAATCCCCAATCAATGATATGTTTTTATTGATTTTCAGAGAGAGGGAAACATTGTTGTGAGAGAAACATTGATTGCTTGCTGCCTATACAAGCCCTAACCAGGAATCTAACCCACAACCTAGGTATATGCCCTGATGGAATTGAACTCACAACCTTAAGGTGAACGGGCTGACATACCAACCAACTGAGCCACCCAGCTAGGGCTTGATCTCTTCTTTTCTTAAAGATACCAGTCAGATTGGATTAGGGTCCATCCATAGGACCTCATTTTATTTTAGTCACGTCTTTCAGGGCCCAATCCCCAAATGCAGTCACATTCTGAGGTACTGAGAGTTAAGAATTCAGCAGATGAATTTGGAGGGAATACCTTCAGCCCATAACACTAAAGCATAACCAGTTTCATGGTAGAGTTTTAAAATGTAGATCTCTGGATTGAAGTAGAATATACTTTATATGGTAGATATCTTATTTATAACAATTAGTTTCTTTAACCTTTTTTTATTGCTTTTAAGAATTGCTTTTTCAAAACCAAAACAGAGAATGCTCACCATAGGACCAGCAGAAATAATTCAACAAAATGAATGCACATCGCCATGCATTATAAACACTTTTGGCTTTAGTATCTCTGGCATTTTATTGTTCATGTAAATGCAGGCATTGGTACAATGAGGCCTGGTAACTCTATAGTAAACTACATGAAAGGCCCAGTAGGAAAGCGTTCTAGAGTAGTGGTTCTCATGCTTCAATGAGCCCAGGATTCACCTGAGTGCTGCATGGGCTAGATTCCTTGTCCTCAGAGCTATTCAGATGCACTGGGTTGGACCAGGGAAGGGCACTCAATGATCTTTATTATTAGGAAGCATCCTGAGTGATACTGGTTCTCCCAGGGCCTACTGTGAAAATCTATCATCATTTGCTCCCTCTAATTAAACCTGTTCTTTCTCCCATTTGAGATATATCTGTAATTAAAGTCATGCTATTTACATTAATTTAAAGGTCAAAGGTTTGCCATGATGGAAGAAAAGGTTGTTCTTTCATGCATCCTGCGGCATTTTTGGGTAGAATCCAACCAGAAAAGAGAAGAACTTGGTCTGACAGGAGAGCTGATTCTTCGTCCTCTTAATGGCATCTGGATCAAGTTGAAGAGGAGAAACTTAGATGCATCCTAACTCCATTATTGGGCTGTGCCATAGTAGGAATAAGGTCTTTCTTTAAGAGAAACTTTGCATTTACAATGTGTAGATCATGAGTTTAATACTCTTAGTCCCTACACCTATTTTTTTTCTTACCCCACTTATCTTGGGGTCAAGTCTATCAAAGGAAGAGTTTTTATATTTTCATCACCACCATTATCTTACCCTTGGTCATGATCCCAAACGGTGAGTTAACTGATGTCAGTACCCAAATAAACATATACATTTCTCAACAGAGGGATCCATAGGCCAATTCAATTTCAATTGACAGACCCAAACGATATAAGTTAATTGAAGTTTCAGAATTTTTTAAGGTATTTCTGTTGAACACAAATATACATATATACATATACATTCAATTTGAAAAGGTTAATTAAATACTTAGGCTTGAGCTTAGGTTTTAAAAATTATATCAGTGGCATCAGTTATGAGAATAATTATGATGATGATACTTTTCAGATTTTATCAAGGAGAGCAGATAATTTATAAGTTGACTCATAAGTTCTGTTCCTATTTCCCTCTAACCGTGTACTTATGGCCTTCACTTCATTCTACATAACATCACAATTACCTTCTCACATCATATATTATCGGGAGAGAGTCCTCTTGGTGATCTCCAGTCCCTCATAATGGCTTTTGGAGCTGGATGCACCTTAGACCTTATCAGGTTATACTCCTTTTCATTCCAAGGAGATAAGATCAATCAGAGGTAAGTTTCTATCCAAAGTCATACCACTAGGGGGTGACAGAGCTGGGAATAGATAGAGGTCTAAATTCTAAATCTCTACTACAGTATGCTATTGCTTTATGAAACTCGGGTCTGTAAGTGGGTGTATCATTAGAACACAGATCTTCTAGAATTCTCCCATCATTAATGAGAAGAGAAGCTGCACATGTATAGTAATCCAGCACCTTGTTTAGGGTTAACCTTCTGGGAAATTCAATCCTCTCGAACATACCTGTGAAGCTGAAAACTGACACAAATTCCCTGAATTTGAATTCCATTGACAATATTTCTACTCCCTCACTCAGTGACTTTAAAAATCTTCTTTTAATAAATAATTTTAATGAGATTGTTTCTGTTTCTACATTGATTTTAGAGTGGGAGGAATGGGGAGAGAGAGAAACATCGATGTGGTGTAAGTGAGGTACCTTGATCCATTGCTTCCCATTACCTCCAGACGGGCGATTGAACTCACACCTAGGTGTGTGCCCTGACTGGGAAGCGTACTTGTGACCTGGTGCATGGACAGAGATTGTTTCTTTAGTTTTCTCAAGGCAATAGCAGGCGAAAGCAACAAACTAAGAGAATGGAATATATATTCTTTAATCGGCATCAAAGGAAGAGGTGACCCAACCAAAGTCACTGGGCAATTATTATGGGCTCGGGCATTCCAGGCAGGGTCAACAGCTCTACGCACTTTACCATCCCAAAGATCCTCATTGCAGACAAGTCAGTCCGTATGTTGCTGAGAAAAAGTCAAGGAAGTATATGATGCAATTGAAAATGATTCCCAAGATATGGTAAACTTTGTTATCTAGAAAGTACATATATGTAGAACATTCATCCCCAGATGATTTTGGATAATTGAAGTTTTATTTTTGGAAATTGGTATTATTTCTCAATTCATTCACTTAGATTTAAACCTTGCCTTTAAAAAAATGTAGTGACTCTACACTAGATATGAAATTAATTTTAAAGCAAAGAATTGCTTTGTGTCACCTTTTGGCTTAAAATCTTCATTTGTCCCCAGAATAATTTATTTTTCATATTTTAATTGGAAACTCACTTACACTGTGTCAGTTAAACTGAGTTGGAATGGAGAACGTATGATGTGCAGTAGCAACATGAAGATGCTGACTTTTTTTTTAAATAGGAAGATGATCTAATATCTGCTTGTGTCCCTATTACCTATCATGCTCCTGCTTGAATGAGGTAGAGACTGATAATAAACTACATTTTAGACATGGGTGCTACATTTTATTCTAATAATTGATGTCAGTTTGAAATATATATTACTTTAAAAGATAAATTAGTGGGTGACTGCTTTATAATAAGTAATAAAAAATGGCACCTTTTAATTAATGTCCTCTGTGTCACTCAGACTCCCTAACAAAATGATCCCAGTGCCGTTATCATAGACTGATCTTGAGTTTCCCTGACTCTGAAAAGTAAATGGAAAGACCAACATATTTTGCTTAATAGAAAGGAGAAAGTGAAATCTCTTAGGACTTCTTGGGAATCAGCAAAAGCCCCAAGCATCCACTGGGTACCCAGGTATTTATCATCTAGAAATCTCTGCAGGTGATGGACTACTGAATTGATGGCCTGTTCATTGTCACAGATAATTGTGGAACATCAGTTTCTGGACCAACTGCTGACCTGTCACACAAATAAAGAGATTCTTGGACTATGTCTAGAAGATCAAAATGTATTTCTAGCACCTCATGACTGCTCTGAATTCATTGCATGATATGCGTGTGTGTGTGTGTGTGTGTGTGTGTGTGTGTGTGTGTTACAAGCCATTAGCAACCCTATGAATGAGTGATGTTCACAATATGTTCTCAACTGCCCTGCTCAGCCCTTGTAGACTGCTACCTACAGCTTCTTTTATGGCCTCAATCCATCTCATATTTGATCTTCCTTATTCCTGCTGCCTTCAATTTTTCCCAGCATTATTGTCTCTTCAAAATAACTCTGCCTTCTCATGATGTGCCTGAAGTAAGACAGCTTCAGTTTTGTCTTTTTGTTTTTTCCTCCAGTGATGTTCAGGCTTAACCTGCCCTTGGATCCACTTTTTCGTCTTTCTGGCGGTCCCGGGTATCTGTAGAGCCTTCCTCCAACACATACTTCAAATAAGACAATCATGTCTAAACACTATGACAAATTTTTGTTTGAAAAAAAGAAAATATTAGTATCACGTTTCTATACAGAAATGTCATTATTAGTACAGCCTTTATTCTCATGAAACATAAGTTGACTAAGATCAGGAAAGACAGGACTCGTAAATGTAAAGTACAATAAAAAGAAATTGCTGGTGTCTTGATTAATACCCTCAATTTAAAAGGCATCACAGCTTGCATATTTGAAATATGCTACTGCATTACAACCAGAAATTATTTTATTGGCTTTGTTATCCATTTTTAATAAACAGAGTTCTGCAGTGCAGTAATATGCATTAAATATTTACTTAAGCATCAACTCCCTGAAAATCTAATTTTCTAACCAAACTGATGTAATGCAATTTTGAAGAATAGTTAGAAAACAAAGCGGATTTAGTGTGAAAGTGGTTATATCTTTAAAGATAAAAAGTACAAAAAGGAGAATAAATTATTTTTTGTGGATGGAGTAGATAAATCTAAGATGGAAGGATAGAAGTTGCAAGGAGGTGTGTTGCCACAGTCTTTTTTGCAGCAAGTGTTCGGGAATCTGGACAAGGGCTGCGCATAAATGGATAGAGACTAGACAAGAAATATAAAATTGGAAGGCATTGGGGGAGGCAGATGGAAACCTCACCCTCTAGGGGAGTGGGCTCCCTTAATCTCCGGACCCACAGCTTTTTATTTGCTGGAAAAAACATTGGCCCTGTAGGAATGCAAACAGGCATATCAAAGGGTTAAGTTTTGTAAACAATAAAAGACCATCAGGTTAGAGAAAATGCCCTCAGCTGTTTGGCTACAGGTAATACTATGCAGATCTTCAGCCTTGCTTAAGATGTCCATCAGCCTTCTGAGGAACTTCTGGCATTTATTATGCTAACTCCTGCTCTATTAGCCTCCACATATTCCCCTTCTTTGATTTAATAAATTTAAGAAGAATGTATGCCATTTGCAGAGGTCGGGTCCTTTTAAGATTTTTAGATTTAATGGAAAGGATTGAATTCTTTCATGTCTTTTTAAATTGCTGCCAGGCATCAAAGGAATCCGTCTGCAGTACGCTCCTTTCTGGGCCATCAGTTCTTTGACTCCCCTTCCCAATCACTGTCCAACAGTTTTTTACGGGTTCCCTTCTCAATCACTGTCCCCTGTGACATGACAGCAATGATATTCCAGTTCTGGATGGTGGACAAACAGTGAGCAATGGCAGTACAGGTCCGACCTTGTTTGGCTTGGTGCAGGGCAACCTTCACCAACGCACAGCTGATGACTGCTAGCATGGCGAGGCGTCTTTACCATCCCCCATCTCTGGACTGTTTCTCCCCTGTCTCATCAGCGTGTTGCTGGGGTCCACTGCTATCTGTGGTTGGAGTAGACTGGTCAGTTCCTCTCTCAGATCCATTGTTGCAGGAACCACATCTGGCTTGGAGGAGTTTTCTGGAAATATACAAGCATATTCTACACCAAAGGTTAATAAAGGGATCCTTCTATAAACTAGACTCTCTGAATCTTTTTATTTTGCCAAACCGTTTTCCTTTGGCTTATTCTGACACCATGTGTGTCTTGCCATTAGCATGACAAGTGAAAAAAAATTTAAAGTAGAAAAGTTTTAAGTAATTAAGGCTACATGTAATTTATTTACAGGAGATTACTCCACTATCCCACCTTTTTTGTTTTAAATAATATTAAAAGCCTTTTGGAAATCCTGCAATGCAGTCTTCATAGCTTTTAATTCAATTCTTAGTACAGAGGTATGACTGCTCTGAATTCATTGCATGATAAGCAGCTTTACTATGAGATGAACCATCAGTAAAAAATTAGTTCATGCTCTAGGAATAGGTACCTGCCTAGTACAATGAAGTTCCCAAGAATATTCACTTATTTCAACTTGCCAATTTAAACCAGTTTGAAAAAAAGGCTATTTTCTAACTTTATTTGTCCTTGGGAGTGAACAACAAATGACACTAATTGAACTTCTGCTATCAGTCTTTGAATATATTCACATATGTTTTGTTTAGGGAGGCAAAAACATAAATTATTTACTTTTCTTTTTGAGTCCTAGTACATTGACATTTAATTATAGTTTCTAAATATTTGAAGGGCATTTTTCTTTATTTCCTCCCAGGGTAATTTCTAGGCCACATATAGAGAGGTTATTTTTGTTTTTTGTTTTTGTTTTTTACCTTTTTTATTCCTTTTAAACTGAGCAACTCACTTGGTTGCTTTTCAGATGCTGGCTAATATTGTAATGTGTATATTTTAAGTGACTCTCTTTCTATTTATGGTGACTTTATTAATGATCAAATTTAATGCTTGAATAATAACCTTTAGTTTACTCTGTAAAATAGTAGCAGAAGGACATTTAAATATTTTAAAATTACTCCTTTTTATTAAGCTTAAAATTTACTTTTAAAAAGCATTCTTTTTGGCTATAGCTCATTTGCATACACAGAGGGGTTATGGGAATTTTTACTTTGGTCTTTGTTAAAACCAATTGCTTATAAAAATATTGGCTTCTCATATAACTGAAATTATATGAGACCTTGATTATATTGTAAAAAGCTAATTTATTAAGTAACTAAAGTAGGCGTCTTTATTGAAAAAGCAAAACAAGCAAACTTATACATTTGACCTATGAAGTATAAATGCCTTCCCACCCACCCCCAGACTATTTAAAAAGCAGGCTGCCTGAGGGCTTTTGTTTTTAAAATTCTGCTGCTGAATTATCTGGTTTTGCTAAGAAATATTCAGCAATATTGTCTTGCCCTCTCTTAGAGGTTGAAACCTTTATAGTATTTTAAAATATATTTATATAAATAACATATAGTTATTAATTTTTATTTGATAAAGCTTTCTACATGATTTCAAGTATGTTAGATTGGCCTAATTCAGTTCAAAAATATTTCTTTTAAGAAGAGAGAATAAATCCTTGAATCATTCCAGGGCCCTTGGAATGCCCAAAGTCATTTCTCAATTAAATTCTTGAAATTTAATTTAGAAACACCGTTAAATATAATGATTAGATTAGATTAGATTAGATTAGATGCTTTTTGTAATTATTCTAAAAGATATCAATTTTATTTAAACTGGTTTTTATATTAAAAATTTGTTTCAGACCACAGAATCAATCCCTTTTTAATTAAACCATATAAAATATTATA